CTTTAAATATCTAGAGGCTATGATGGTAGTCAGGTTATAGGCAATCCGATTCACAAGCCCCTGGCAAATATCCTGTTATACATATTTTTATTATTATTCACTAAATCAGATAAGTACCATCTGCCAAGATGTTAGTCCATTTTATAACATTCTGACTTAATTCAGTGCTACCTTATCTTCTTTTCCCTTTGCCTGCAAGATAAAGATATTTCTCATCTTTTCCCCCCCCACCACCCCCTTTAGCCTACACAAGCCAGTCAAGAGAGACAGCCTGCATTGTTAGAAGTAGTTCAGACAATACAAAAACTAACAATCATTTGAGGACTGCTCAGATTAGTGATTCGCAGTTGGCTGATGCAGCAGGACAAAGTAGTCTCAAAGTTCTAGTTACCTGGAGATCAGGAATGTCACTGCATCCTTAACGTAATGAACGAGATTCTGCCTCGGGACTTTCAGGGACAATGTATTCACTGCTCTTGAGTTTGTCCAATATAGCAATTAATATGATTAAGCTAGTGTCAAATCTGTTTTAAATACTATTGCAGTGGGTCATTAACTTTAACACTGTCATCATGTTCTCCCTACAGCATTTACCTAATTTAGGAAAGATACTACACCAATGCTCAGCTTTCACCTGAATCAGAAAGCGTATTCATCCTTCTCTGGTCCTTAAGATAACACTCAAATTCTTCTGGTACTAGGAAGTGATGCTTTTATTTGCTTGTTTTAAACAAATACCTGTCATTTAGGAACTTGAAACTTCCACTGAAATAATTAGGAGAGACTCTGGATTCATGATTTGCAAACACGCTGCCATACAGCCAGTTCTGGTGTAATTTTTCTTGCTCTTTCAAGTTACCTTCAAGGTTGTCTAGAATAAAGAGTTGCCTGCAGATTCCATTAAGGATATGATGGAAGCTAATTCAGGCAGAATCATCAAATAAACTAAAAAAAGAGAGAGTTTTTTTTTTTTTTTTTTTTTTGCTTTCCCCAGAGCATTGAAGATATGCTAGGCATTCTAGTGAGGACGGTTGGAGAAACATGGAGGGAGTATCTGAAAATCAGAAGTTCAGTGAGTCGGCATGGAAGAAGATTTAGAAATAGTTTAAATAGTGGCCAGAAAAAAAAAACCTACATGGATAATTGGTCAGTTTCTGACAACTAGAATTTTTTTTTTTGAACAATTCAGGTGATCCATTTCACTTAACTAGAATACCTTCTCCATAGTCACAGTATAAGGGTTTTAACAATTGATAACCGACATGATTTAGGGAAGCTCTAACAGATGATTTAGCCTTGCTGTTTCGTTTGTATTTAGTGTTTGAAAATGTGAACACTCATACAAACTCAGTGAGATAAACATGCAATAAGCTACTTTAGCCAAACCTCTTAGCTTAATTCCTAAGGTTTGGGGATACAGGCATAACGGCTTTTTTCCCCCCAACTTGCTTCTTTTTTTTTTTTTTAAATTAAAATAATTTTCTTACTCAAAAACATCTACCTCCTTTTGATATTTACTATTTTTTCCATCCCAGTGCAGGGAAGAGGAAGGCACACTATGCCCAGAGTAAGTTTGTCTTTGTTTAGAATTAAAACCACCTCTACATCCTTGAAAGAGAAGTTTATTTTGACAGCTGCCTAAAATGTGAATATCCTAAAACTAGGTTTTCCAAGCCTTTATACCGAAAAGTAGGTTTTGGTAGGTGGTTTGTTTGGGGGAAAAAAAAAAAAAAAGTCTCTTTCTCCAGAGAAGTCTTTTCTTTCAAGACAGTACCCACTACTTCTCACTGGTGCCAAATGTTTCCTTCCTGTTACCAAAAAAATCCTCAAAGCCTTGCTCTGTTTAATTCACTGCTTTTTTAACATTGAAATTTAACTCTCTCATTTCTATTTAGGTTGAGGCTTTATTATGTATCTGTTTGCATGCCTGACTGCTTTCAAAAATACATATAAAAAAAAAAACAGTTTTACCACCATTTTCTGCCCTGTTACTGTGACTTTTTTAATGATGCAGACTTAACATGTTATTTTATGGAAGAATTTTAAAAATTATTCCCACGAGGCTCCCCAGAGCTTCCAAGAGCACCATTGCATGTGCATTGAAGTCAGCTCGGGCACAAAAATCAGGACAAACAATAAAAGGGGGGTGATAAATAACAAGTGCGCCGTGTTGCCCTTCCAGCTTCCTTTCTCAGACATCAAATCTGAGTTCTGAGTCCCATAACCTCTTCCTTTCCCCCAGGCTGGATGATAAGAAAGCTCCTTGACCAGCTCCACAGCATCAGTGCAAGTAGAGCTTCCCTCACCACAACCTTTCTTCCTTTCAGCATACTCATAGCCCAGCCATCACCTAGCAGGGACAACCTACTACGTGCCAAACATTTAACAGAGCTTTTATGGACAAGAAACACTCTGTACTCCACAACAGGTCCCACTGAACACCCTAAAAGTATAAAGAAGTATAACAGGGGTTGTGTACCTACCTTTGAACAAAAGCAGACTTACTTAGAAAAATGATAACATCTGGCACTGGAGCTGCTGAGAGTTCTTCAGCTCTCTAAGAAACCCTTTTTCCTTTAAAAACAGTTGCATCTTTTCTCAGCCTTTAAATACGTCTCCCTCTTTGCTGGCACTGTGGTGTTAAAGAAAGGGGGCAGTGTGCTGAGGCACAGTCGGGTCACAGCTGAAGGTAATAACATCACTTACAAGCACGTCATCACCTGCAGCTCATGGAGCAGCCTGCGGGCAACAGAATCTGGTGGAAAAGCCAACATCCACCTCATAACGCCTGTCTCAATACGTCAGTTCCTCTGGTTAGTAGTTTCTTTCAACTGTTAAAAATACCATAAGAGGGATGGATATATATATATATATTAATACAATTTAAAACTCATAAAATGGAAATAACTATATAAAATCTCTGGGTATATTTAGAGTCTAATTTTACAATCAGGATTTAAAAATGCAAGAACAACAACAGAGGATAACCACTATATTAAACACGTATTCCTCAAATTTGATGCATTAAATTTTACTTCTCATCAAAATGTGCTCAAAAAAGAAGAAAGTACACATTTAAAAGCAGATATTGCATGTGCATGAATTCACAATCCAGCCTTATCAGGTACATGAAAAGACGTACACCAGCAGAAAGCACAAAGCACAAGATATATGTCTTGAATCAAAACATTACCAGCTTTTAAAGCTGCTTTTATTTTGCTCTCTGTACATGACGGATTAAAACATGGATTAGAAAGATTAAACCAGATATGAGAATAAGCAAGTCAGTTCTATTCCTGGCCTTACCACTAACCTGCTCTGTGGTTTTGAGGAAACAACTGTTTTATTTCTTTTTTAGTTGACTCATCTGAGGAGGGTTATTTTTCCTAACCACTGTGCTTCAAAAAGTCATTAGACTTACTTATGTAATGCCACTAAAATGTTTATATGCCACTTATGTGTCTTATAACACTGGACTAAAGATCATATACAGAAGAAGAATCCAGACACAGTACTTATTGGCAGACTGCTTGCAAAGTAATCACACAACACAGCTAACGCTATTTCACACTTCTGCTGCCACCTGATGGCTTTTTAGAGCATCACCATTAATTTTTGAACAGGAGGGAAGCAGGTGCTTCTCCACTGCTCTCGTTAGTCATTTTGCCGATTACAGAGCAAGCTATTTCTGCCTAAACGGGGGCCGGGGAAAGATTTCTAGTTCATTCTACTGAGGAGTCGTCTGACTACAACACTACTGAAATTCCTTTCTAGACCTTCTTACCCCTGTCTGTTGGTGACCTGTAGCTTTATTATATTAGGAAAATAAGTCTTTGATTTAAAAGAACATATAATACTTAGAGGAAATTATTATTTTTATACATACATATTTATTGTTACCCGAAGAAACAAAAAAGAAAAAAAAGCACAAGACAGTCCTTTTGCATCTCTCTAGGACATACTTGTTATCAAACTGACAACCAAATTACTAAACGGTTAGTATCTTAGACCTTTGTTTTTGCACCAAATCTTTATGACTGTCATTCAGACACATATATATATATATATGTTGTATATATGTTTTAAAATAAATAAATAAATGTACACCAAAAACCCTATTTCTGGAACACCTGGAGCACCCGTCCCACCTAGACAGGAGGAAGAGTCTGTAGCATCCTGTGCTTGCTCTTTCATCCTGGTTTTACGCACAGAGCAGAGCTGATCTTGCAAAACATTTCCTCCAGCTGAAATCTGCCCAAGATACCTTATTCTTCAACCCCAACCCTGCAATGCACTTGAACATATCCTTATCTGGGGCACTGAAGAATAAAGCAGTAGGGCTTCACTGGACTAATTAGAACTGAAGCACACTTTAAAAAACAGGAAAAGAAATCTAAAGCGTTGGTCGGTGGGAAGGGGCAGGCCCTCCCGCGGCCGCAAAGGCGGGATTCAGCGCGCAGCTAACGCGCGGCCCGAGGCCACGTCACCGCGCGGAGCGGAGCGGCGCACCCCACGCGCACGCG